GCTCTTATTCAATTATTTATGTAAATGCTGAGTCAGCATTTTCATTTAGATGACAGGCTATGGGGAAAAAAATCTGGATCATACTTTTGTTAGCTGGTTATTTATACTATGCAACATTTTTTTCTACAGCTCCAAAATCTAAACTTGTGTCACTGGTAAATATTTACTGAGCATTTATTGTGTGATGAGCTGTCTGTGCTTTATTAACTGAGGAAATCCTGCAAAAGCCTAGTTTATTTTACAATCTGCTGTTCTTTTTAAAAATTTACTTAAAAGTTGCTGAAAGAATGTGTTGAATTCTGACTTTGGAAAAACTATAAAGTGATGGGTTTTTTTTACAGTGTTTGGAAATGTTATGAAGAGTTAGTATCTCACCTGTCGTAGAYAGCACTTTGRACAACTGTTTTAGAAAATTRGGCTCCGTACGGTATTTTTTCTCAAGGTGTGCACACCGAGCAACAAAATGGACGTGCTTCACRGAGTCGTGGCTGTGTGAGCTGGTGCCAGACTCAATGCTGCGATTAGCAGGCTCAGAGCGGACTGCATCAGAGCTGTCCAGAAAAGAGAAAGATGGAGGCATCTGTTTTTACATCAACAATGTGACAAAGTGCCTGCAACACTGTTTACCTACCTGGAAGACCTTTTACTCCCATCGTTAGTTTACTTCATCTTGGTCATAGTGCAGTCATCGTTAAAACCGAGCACAAGAATAGGGGTCTGGACGACATAAGATTAAATGACGTGCTTACAAATTCATCAGCAGGAGAAAACAGGAGCTTTTCTTGCATTACAAAGCTGCATCTCCCCTCCTCTTTTCACATGAAGTGACCCTGCCAACGCTTCGCCCCGACGCCCCATGACTTCTTCCACTCTGTTCCATCTTTCATCCCTGAGAGGAAACCTGGGAGCAACTTTGTCAGGTTTAGTCAAGCTGACTGCGTCTTCTGCCTGTCGCCCAGCAGAACAAAAACCAGCAGGCCGGGTGGAGAGGAGGCTCCCTGGGTTTTACAGCAGCGCCAGGAGGGGTCATAAAAAAAACACTACAGTTGCACGAGAAGAAAATGTCTCTAAATTGTAAATTAGCTTTAGTGAGTGGAGATCGTTCATGTAGTTTTGGTTTGGCCAGCGCTCCATCATACCCCGCTTCTTTATTATTCATTCCCAGCTGTCTCAAATGCTGCACCAGGAGGGAGGAAATATGTTGTTTATTTTTCATTTTCAGACAAATGAAGTAACATCAATATTAGGTAAATGTTTGATTTTAAAATCCTCATTCCCAAAATAACTACAAACCAAACATGTCTTAAGGAATTTTAAGGACTCTCAGCTACTACCACACCAAATGTCAGCAGGAAATCTATAATATTGATCCATTTTTGTGGTTGTGGCAGCCATCTTGAACTGAGCTGACTCCAAAAGTCAATCAGCTGTACATACTGTGATTACTTTCTGTAAGTTTCATCACGATGACATCATGAAAGAGGACAGGAAAAAGCATCGACTGAATGTGAACTTTATTATTTTTGGCAAAAAGTAATCAGAGTGACACAAACATATTCACATTAAATGCAAAATCTAAGGTTTCAAGCTATCCTCTTTAACCCAAAGAAATAAGTACATCTTTTAAAAGGCAATACAGGATGATAAAAAATACACTAAAGTGTCTGCTTAGTCTGCAATATGTAGCACAGTGATAAAGTCCTAAACTGCTGATCCTCATGTCCTTAACGGGCCCCTGCCTCTGAGCCACCTCGCCCTGGTGAGAACTCACTTCCTCGGACTGTGCTTCCCTTTTCTGTTGACTGAGGTCTGGTGGCGAAGACTGACCGCGTGGATCAGCCGTGGGGAATGGCTGTCTGACATCATCATTATTATCCGCCACCTGCCAGCATCAGTCATCAAGCCTGTTATGGAGCTAATGTTTGCTCTCYGTGGAGAAACTGCGCCTCAGTGTGGTGGGTGTCATGTGGTGAGCTTTATACAGTAAAACTACAGTGTGGGTCAGTGCAGTGGACTCACTCTGTATGCGCCAAAGTCTTCTGAGTCCAACAGCAGAAGTGGCTTTATTTTATAAAGCTTGTTTTCCATTTATAACATAACTATAGTTTGTGCAGGCCCTGTGGTGAACTGGCTCCCTGTCCAGGGTTTACCCTGACACTGAATGGAAATGTGGTTAACGGATGGTTTGTGGACTCCATGTTTAGTTTATTTATAGTTTTCTTTTAGTCGATTAACACTACTAGAAAAAATAATTTGTATCAAATAGGAGGCATAATGTGTTCTTTTTGTTTTGATACTGTTTAATTATCACTACTCTTCTGTATGTTGTACTCATGATTAAATGCAGCAAAATAACTATTTCAAAGGCAACAGATCTTTGTAATACTTGGTTTATTTACATAATAACTTTAATTGTTAGACGTTCTGTATGGGATCAATCTTGTTCAAGCAGGAATTGAATTTGAATCGCTCAGATTGAATCTGAATGTGCATAATTTGAAATCGAATGCATTGGTTTGAAAATAAATTTCACTAAATTGAAACTGAGTTTAATGATTTGAAACTGAATTTAAAAGTTTGTATCTGAATTAATTTGCTTTGAAACTGTATTTTGTTTTGTTATAATTTCAGTTTGACTACTTTCATTTTCACTTGCATAATTCAATTTCAGTTTGGCCCCTGAGCTGTTAGTCTGCATTAACTGTGGCCCCCGGAGAAATTTAGTTGAATAGCCCTATGAGTTTAAAATGACTGTCTTACTGCGTCCAACCTCTATKGAAGAGGATTAGGATTATTTTTCCATTACAGGCCACAGAGCAAAAAATTATTAATTTTTCCGGAAATCTGTTTTTTCCCTCAGAATTCTGAGATTAAAATCAGAATTATTTTTTTCCAGTGGCACTGCTCTCCCAATGTCACCCTTTTTATGCAGCTCAACAATCTGACCAGGTTCAAAGAGAGAAAGCTTTGTTGCCTTTGTCATCATGACACTGTSGATACCTGACAGAAAATGACACTGAATCCACATTTTTGTGAAGATTTGGGATTTAAAATGCTGTGATCCTAAACTTTTGATTAGTTGATAAACAGCTTATTTCAGCTTAATGAAAAAAAATGCTTACTCATTTTAATTTWGCCTCRCTTACATTTCTTCTTTTTACATTCYGAAGCTCTACTTAGAACCTTCTAAAGATCCAACCGTACAAAATATGAATTCTTGCCATTTTTTTCAACTGGTCTTAAAAGTTTGATGAGGAGTGCAGGAGCCTGTAAAGTGTGTAAGCATTTCGTTAAGTTTAAATAAAAAAGGTTATTGTAGATCCAGTTTGAAAGCGTTTACTCCAGTAGTTTTCCAAATATGCAAATTTGCAGTTCTGCAATGTGGGTAAGCACACAACATAAACAAAGAACTGTGCTGAATCGGTCATGGAAGCATGAGGCACATGTGATACTTCTAGAAAAAAAATTAAYACACTTTACGATTTTAATCACAGTGTTCAAGTCTTTCCTAAAATGCAACATTTGTGTTTAACTATATTTTCTTTTAGAGTTTAATAAAAAGCAGCATTTGATTTGCAAATAGGCTAAATGGCGACTAACAAGTTTTAATTGCAACACAATATAAAACGAATGCTCTGCACTTAATCTTAATTAGCCTAACTGCATAAAGGGCTTTAAAAGGCATTAAATATTCTAGCTGTCACAGCGGGCTGATCTGCAAGTTATCTGGAGATTAGAGCACTTTGAATATTTGATTTATTTTTTATTATTTTATTTTTTTGGTGAGGCTTATTGGAAAAACACATTTTTTTAAACTTTCTTTCATAT